GCTAATCACCACAAATATTTTGGATTTTTGAACCAGACAACTAGAATTTGATACTGGCAGCTCTTGACTAACTAAAACCATCGCGAGTACTCCTAATTTAAATAGACGCATCCATTAGCAAAATCACTTAAAAATTAAGACCTTAGCAATAAATCAATTAAGAGATATTAGACTTGGTCCCTGTGCGGCATAAATGACCGATGGTTTTTGACCAATATATAATAATATATGGCCCTTTCCATCACCCAGAATAAGGTTGCAAGAGTGATGCACACTACCATGACAAAACAACTATGGCGGCAGATCATTTGTTTAGAGGGCTAGCCATCCACGTCTGATGTGGCAAACTAACAAAAACATTACAGCTAAGTCACCATCTTTTGTATCCATAAATCCTTAATGATTTGGATAAAGAGTCAGTTTTTTCCCCCTCCACAAAATAACTTAATACTGACCGTAAAATCCCCAGGGGCGCAGGTGCGATTGAAATAGAAGGGAAAAAGAGGGGGGGGGGTGTAAACTGAAGCCATACCTTAAAACAACGCCAGGGCAAACTCCTAGAGATTTGAAAACACAATTTTGTGTAAGGTCGAATGAGTGCTCAACAAACTAGGGGTCCAACCGCCCCCAAAACCAACCAACGACCAAGAAAATGGACCCGGTACCCTGACATCACTTCAAAGAACTGAAAGCGGACAATTTGGAGGTGGGCGAATGCTATTTTTAAATGCAGAAATGTTTATGAGACCCTTGGGGTATAAATAACACAGTCGCCATTGTTTCCTCGGTGAATTTTTCTTAGAATTCAGGCCCAACAAAGCACTGGTTTGAGAGTAAAATTATGGAAGACCGTTTGTTTACGGCGAGTGTCATCTTTTTAAAAAAAATATTACTCCTAACGAACAAAGAGAGGGGGGGGGGGGGGTTAACAAAAAAAACAAAAAAAAACAATTCTTGCATCGTTTTTTTTGTTTAGCTGCCCTGGGATTTAAAAAAAATATTACTCCCAACGAGCGAAGAGAGGGGGGGGGGGGGTTAACAACAACAACAACAAAAAACTATTCTTGCATCGTTTTTTTTGGTAGCATGCCCTGGGAATGGGTGGTTGGGGCGCTTAACCGCTCACCACCCGATACAAGACGAGTGATGATGCGTACCATTACGACCGTGCGAGGGCCATTACTAAACGTCCCGGCTAACAAAGCACTAGTCACGTGCTTTTCTTCTTGTTTCCCCCCCTCCCCCCCCCCAACCACGGTGGCTGGTCGCTGGTGCTAATGGGGTGGAAAGGATAGTAGTTGTAGTCGCTTTAGGGGCGGGACGGGGTAGGTGGCCGAGACGCAAAACGACCCTAAGTCGCGAACTTACCAGGAGAGGGTCGACAGCGGAAGGGGCGTTGTGTGGGGTTGTTTTGTTGTTGTTGACAACACTGTCACGGTTGATGGTAATGGTCGAAGCTTGAAGAAAGGGGATTCAACAACAGTTCAGTGATGGACTGTAATTTCTTTTCCAACCGCCCCCCACCCACACCACCTCTCTAGAATGAGGTAACCTGGTTCCTGAGAGCTCATATTTTGCTTGGGGTTTTGTGGCGACTTTGTGATCACTCCGGACAGGCGAACCAGAGAAGCAGAAGGGGGAGAAAAAAAAAAACCCCGGTATTATTTCAAATTAAGAACAAATTTAAAAACCTGAACGCCCTTTTCAGAAATTTGAATAACACCCTACCCCCCCCCCACCCCTTTTTTTCTTCTCCCTTCTTTTCTTTTTCTCTTCTTTTTCTCACGAGCGAGGCGACTCGAGCAGTTTAGGTGAATTTAAGACCTCTTTAAGTCCCCGAGAATAAAGCATACGACTTTTAAAGATCTCTTCAGGTTCGAAGAGGAAAACTAAACTCTCAGACTCAATGGTTCAACAAATGGAAAGAGTACCGGTACCTAAATCGGACATTCTCATTGTTAAAGAATTTTAAGACAGATTTTTTTTTTGTAAGGCCAGAACAGAGGGCAATTTCTGTTAAAGTTGTAGATTGTAGGGGGAAAAAAGCCAAGGCTAAAGCATTTCATTTACATTCTACCTTCTATGCTACGGTTGAGGGGCAGATGGCTCAATCTCTTGGCGGGACAATGGCTAATATCCACGACACGGGGATTGGCGTTTCTGAAACGACTCACACCGAAAGTGAAGCAATAATAATTATTATTATTTCTCTTACTACCGTCATTAATAATTAATTTTAAACGAGAAAATAGTTTCCACCTAATATAGTTGGTCTGAGAAAAGATTTCGCATATAAGCATAATGTAAGGTCCGATTAGGTTTATTGTCAACATATTTCATAGCAAGCCTACGGATAATTTATAGCAAGCCTACGGATAATTTATAGTAGGCCTACGGGTAATTTATAGCACATTATAGTTTGTGTGTTCGTTGTTTATATTGCAATCTATACACGTCGATTTCAAATGAAAATTCTAAACCAATAAGCTTACGTTTGAAAAGGTTTGATTTAAAGGGAGGGGGTGGGGGGGGGGTATAACACGGTCACTAAGGAAATATTTCCAACCAATAGTTGTCTTTCTTAGTAATTAGGTCAAGCAATGATGGAAACTTCTAATATCTGCACATTAGAGAAGAACTGAAAACAATTGCCTGAGTTTGATTTTTAAAAAAAATAAACTAAAAGATGTTTGGTCCACCTTTTTACCTGTATATGTCAGATATCATATTTAAAATAAAGTTTGTTCAACTATCAGCAAGCACATCAATAAAATAATAACACACCATAATAATTTGTCACTAAGTATTAAATGGAATTGTTCAATGGATGCTTGGTGAAATTTTACTTTTGTTAGCAGCAATCTTCTCAATTTAGTCTTTGAACAATGGGTCTCTATAAAAGGAGCGGGGTTAAATACTTAAAAGACTTTAGATCCTTCAAACATTTTATCATATTGGAAGGGATTTTCAATCTAAATCTCTCACCAAGATTCCCCCAAACATTTTTAAATTTGGTGTGCAACTTTGCAAACAACGTCCCACACCAGATCACCATAAGTTCATTGTAATTGTAGACATCAAAATAATAGGACAATCATTTCTTTGTTTGCTTTTTTTTGTTTTTTTTTTGTTTTGTTTTTTGATTGTAGTTTTAAAAAAAAATAATTCTGCCCAAAATAGTTAAGAGGTGCCTAAATATCAGCCACATCAAAGTGGAACATAACAAAGAAAAGGGAGATAATAGTGAAGAAAAACAAACACCATGCAAGCAGGAAAAGATGAATTATTTTGGGAAGGAGATACACAAGTCATGAGAAAGAATGAAATTTAAAAAAAAAAGGGGGGGGGGGGGCATAAATGGCTCCTAATATTTGCAAAAAAAGAGGTAGGCTGAGTCCTGTGAAAAAAAAATTTGTTTTTTTAATAAAAAAAAAACAAAAAAATAAATAATGATTTAAAAAAAATCATTAACTT